TCAAGTTGACCAAGGATGCAGACTCTGAAGAGGAGGATATAGATGAGTTATGAGTCTCATACAGAGCAACTACAGCTCAGTCAATTCCTCATTTGTCATCAGCAATCAATATCCAAAGAAAGCAGGGATGATGACGACAATGACATAGGATAGGAAGCCAGGAGTCTAACAACAAAAATTCTCTCCAATTTTTTTGGATTGCTGGATGAGATGATGGAAACCATGCAATGTGATGATCCTTTTTGTAAACAGTCTGCCAAGTGTCCAGAGCTCTCAATGTTGGCCCTCTACAGGGAGTCCTAAATTTCAAAAATTCATACGTAAGAGCAGATGCTGATAGTCTTTTTTTTTTTTTTAAGACATCTGCAAACTAAGGATGTTAACTAATTGAGTAGTCGATGGAATTTCCATTGACTAATCAACTAGTTGATAGGCACTTCTGCATTTCTCACTCTGAAATGTATAAGAGCCCTCGCTGGGGGGAGAAATCCCAAATATACATACAAAACGATAAGGAATAATTTAGCTATTTCCACTTGAGATATTGGAGTCATTGTGGATAGTTTTCTGAAAATATCCACTCAATATGCAACAGCAGTCAAAAAAGCAAGCAACGTTAGGAATCATTTAAAAAGGGATAGAAAATAAGACACAAAATACCTTATTGTCTATATGCCCAGGGCTCGACAATTAATGTAATCTACTCGCCCGTGGCGAGTAGATTACAAGCCGGCACAGCCGCGTAGCACGGTCAGCGCATGCGTAGCACGGTCAGCGCATGCGCAGCGCGCTGAACCACGCAGCTGGCGAGTGGGGCTTGCCGAGCCCTGCGTATGCCCATATCTTGAATACTGCATACAGATGTAGTCACCTCAGATCAAAAAAGATATATTTGTATTGAAAAAGGTTCAGAAAAGGGCAAAAAAATGATTAGGGGTTCGGAACAACTGCCATATGAAGAGTAGAGACTTGAATTTTTCAGCTCAGAAAAGAGGAGACTAAGAGGGGATACAATAGAGATCTATAAAATTATGACAGGTATGGAGAATGTGAATAAAGAAAAGTTAGTTACTTGTTCCCATAACATAAGAACTAGGGGTCACCAAATGAAATTAATAGGTAGCAGGTTTAAAACAAACAAAAGGAAGTTTTTCTTCACACGGTGCATGGTCAGTCTGTAGAACTCCTTGCCGGAGGATATTGTGAAGACCAAGACTTTAACAAGGTTAAAAAAAGAACTAGATAAATTCATGAATGTTAGGTCCATTAATACTTATTAGACGGAACGGATAGGAATGGTGTCCCTAGCCTCTGTTTGTTAGGGGCTGGAAATGGATGATGGGAGAGGAATTGCTTGATGATTACCTGTTCTCTTCACTCCCTCTGGGATATCTGGCATTGGCCAGTTGGAAGACAAGATACTGGGCTAGATGGATCTTTGGTCTGACCCAGTATGGCTGTTTCTTGTGGTCTTATACTATATTAGGTATATCTCCATATTATTTTCTCAGAACTGGAAGGGACCTTGAAAGGTCATGGAGTCCAGACCCCTTCCAACAGCAGGACCAAGTACCATCTCTGACAGATTTGCCCCAGATCCCAAAATGGCCCCATCAAGGATTGAACTCACAACCCTGGGTTTAGAAGGCCAATGCTCAAACCACTGAGCTATCCTATGTGAATGGTATTAGTAAGTGTCTACATTTATTTTTTCAATATGTACTGTATGACTAGGAATGTTAAATTTAGATTAATTGGCTAGTCGAATAAGACGATGCAATTTGCATTGACTATTCAATTAGTCGATGAGGGCACCTCCACCTTTGAAGTGTACAAACAGCCACAGGACTGTTGCTACACTTCAAAGGCAAAAGCGCTGTAGGGGGCACAGGGCCAGCGTGGGAGTCAAGCAGTCCCCCACTAATCCCGTGCTCCCTACACAGCGTTTCAAAGCAGCAGCAGCACATGGAGCCCAGGGTCAGCAAGTGGGTACTGGTCCCAGGCCGCATGGAGCATTTCAAAGCGGCAGCACTGCGTGGAGCCCAGGGTCTGACCCTGGATTCTGTTTGGCACTGCTGCTTTGAAGCACCCCTCGCTCCCCCCTCCCTTTGCTGCCTCTTTCTGATAGATGCAGTAAGGGAGGAAGTGACTAGTCGACTACATCCCTATGTATAACCAGTCATTTTTTTTTAAAAGGTACCCTGTTAGGTGAAAAGAGTATTGTCACAAACAATGCAGTAATGTTGTGAATGCATTTTCCCCCTTATTCCAATATTTCTTATGGAGAAAAAGCTCCCAGTATATCTCATTTTGTCCTTTTCAAGAATACAACCCCAATGTACATTGGGGATTCCATGTATTTTACTCTTAGATTTCCAAAGTTTTTAAGATATCTACCTTCAGTATTAACAATAATGCAGGAAAGAAACAAATGTTCACATACAAATGTTTTGTGTTGCCAGACAAACGAAAGGTTACTATTTCAAACTATTCAAACATTTGGAACAGCATCTGCGTGGTGGATACATATAGCTTTCTCACATTCGAGAAGTGTAGAAATCCATGTGAAGTTATAATAAATTATCGGATTTTCAGATTATGCCACAATTAACTTTACAGTTGAACTCACCAGTAAACAAGCCGGAACAAATCCTTCCTCTGTATAGTGCTCAGCATATTCTTTTAAATCTGAGCTTTCCAATATAAATTCACGGCAGGTAGCTAAAAGCTTTTCCTGTTGTAAATACCCTACAACAGGAAAGACAAAGTTTTGAATTTTTGTTAGCTGTCTTTCCATGCTACATTTAGTAGATGTGTGTACTGTAGTTTTATCAGAATTTTGACATTAATTAAGAAAGCTCATATGGCAACTATCTATGGACTCATGACAAACACTAAAAATAAACTGTATTTAGAAAATAGCTCCTTTCCCACACATTTTTCTAATTATCAAAGTTGACATGTAACATTGACAACACTGCTCTATATAAATCCAAATAAAGCTACTTTCAGACAAAGTAATTAAGAGTACCACCTAAGAAAATAGAGACTTATGCATAGCTCTGTTTCTGTATAAACCATAAAGACAAGAAAATAACAATTCTTGCCAAGAATGGCTGACAAGGTGAGCAATACATAGTAAAGCCCTGCAAATCAGTAGATATCAGTTTCTGAATCCATGAAGGGCTCAACACTTGAGCTAAAATTTGCAGTTATCAATTAAATGGAATGCTACAATTTTTATAAAATGATTTACCATACAACAATCAAGATTATACATGCATATATTACAGTTTCAAAACAACAAAACAGGACAGCCTTAAAACCTGTTAAGATTTTTTCTAAAAGATTATCATTACTAGCATAAGACATAATTGGAAAAGTAATGTACGTCCATACTGTAAACTTCATATTGAGTAGAAGTACCAACAGTCACTTGTGTATTTGTGTACCTACGGTACATTAACATGATACAGACTGAAATTTCTACCCCAAAAATATCTCCAAACTTCAGAAAGTGTGCATAATTATTTAACTTCATTTTAATGCTGAAATTCTTTCAGGAACTAAAAAGAGTAATTTGAATGTAGGATTCGAACACAGAATCACAACAATTAGTATGCAATTTTGTCTATTCCATGCCAGGACAGATTTGTCCCTTATGTTACACAGATGGTACTTTAGCCACTCTAGTTTTAAGTGTCTCTGATGGGATTACAATCCCAAACATCTACCTCTAGCTTTCTTTTGAAATACCATTCCTAGAACTGATAGAAAGATTAGATCAAATCAAAGTATTCTTCTTTCTTTCCCACAGCAGAGTTCAATATATACTGTATCAAATACAAGTTACCCCTCACATCAATTAAAAATGCTGAAACTGACCAGCGGCTGAGGCAGAGCTGCTCTGCCCCGGGGCTTCCTGGAATCAGCCGCTGATCAGTTTCAGCAGCGGCTGACTTGGACGCCTGGGGCAGAGCAGCTGGGGTGCTGCTGGGTTGGTCCAGTAGTGCCGCACCTCGGCGCTGTGGGACCAACCCGGCAGCCCCCCAGCTGCTCTACCCCAGGCGTTGGCGAGAAAAGCCTGGTCTGCTGGGGGGAAGTGCCCCCCGCGCCGCCAGAGGTGGCAACAGTGGGGGAGGCACCCCGCAGTAGCGGGGGGCCCCCCCGGTTCGTAACTAGGGGTCCGACGTTAGTTGGACCGACTTAACCCCGGGGACTAGCTGTATAGACATTCTGATCCTGGGCTAGAGGTTCAACTCTGAATCCTGGGCAAGGAGGTAGGTTTCAACGCTTGAACTGAACTGCAGTGTGAGCCCAAGTATGTTGTAGACCAATGCTGCTGCCACACAGACAAAGGGTTTAAATTGTAATGTAAACATACTCAACAGCTACATGGGAAGACAGCATGCTTACATTAATAAACACACAGAGTTATGTTAAATATTCAAGTTGCAAAATCAAACACTCAAATACCAGGATTAAGGTTGCACTTGTCCAACTGCAAGTAAATATTCTGATATAACCTTTAAATCATATACTGCTTTTTTTCCCTAAAGGACCCCTGCCTTATTCAGCACATTGGAGGAACAGTGCTCAATTAATGAGCAGCTATCAATTTTTTTCCCTTTGTGGTTCAATGTGTGGTCCCAGGGCTTGTTTACTGCAAACCACCAAACCATGCACTGAATACAAAATTGTCATCTTCAGCTTTTCTATGGTGGCTTCAAATTATTTAGTCCTTTATAAACACTAACAAATTTATCTTCACAAAACACAAAGTGCAAGAGGTAGGAGGTATTGAGAGCACAAGAGAGAGAGTCTCCCTGCTCTCAGACCTAGGGATGTAAAATCCTATTCAATCAATTAACCACTTAAATGAGGTGAGTAGGGAGGCACCTTCCACGTACAGTGCAGTGGGCTGCTCCAGCCAGGCTCAGCCCACCGCCGGTAGAAACTGTCTGGGCGAGGCTGGTGGCCTGCCCTGGGAAGGGAGTTGTTCCTGCCTAGCCAGTTTACTGGTTAACCATTGACATCCCCACTCAGTTATGGTTCAGAGCACTGTAGCAGCACACCTGAAGAAGAGGAAAATTGCAGGGAAAGTTCTCCTCAGTCTCTGCAGCCCTGGATTGGAGCACATGTAATCACCATAATCTGCATTGTCTGCAGAGACTCATCTAGAGACTTTCAGAGACAAAGCATGAGCTGCATGGGCAATGGGTGAATACTATCTTGGGGAGGATAGCCCCCCAGCTCTCCCACACCGGCTGTTAGCTCCTGCCCTATACCCCCCAACCCCTCACCTCCACTGTGGCTACGGGTCTCTCCCCCAAGCTACCACATGTTCTTTGCAGATGAGCTCAAAAGCAGGAACAGCTTTCCCAGAGTGTTGAGTTGCCCCAGCCTCCCTGGCCACACAGCACAGGGAGCGCATGCAAATGCTGCCCCAGCCTTGGAGCACAGGGAGGCTTAATAACAGAGCCCCAGACTTCCTGGCCCTGGAACACAGGGAGGCTGGGCAGTGTGGCTTCAGCCTCCTGTAGCCTCTTAATCCACAGAGTATTGGGAGGGCAGTACCAGCTGGGACCATCATGGCACAAAAGAGCCAGGCTAACTGCAGAGCAGGAAGCAGAAGGGGATGGAGTGTGGGCTGAACTACATCTGGCCATTTGGGGAGGCTCAGCCTTCCTCTGCCTCTGATACCCACCCCCCATGATGAGCTGCTGTAGTTTGAAAGCCAAGATTCTTTATGTATGAACTATAACAACTCATGTTCTCTGCAGATGAGCACAAAAGCAAGAACAGCTATCCTCACCAGTCAGTGACAAATGGTACATATAGACTACATGCCTCTGGCGCCGGAGGCATGTAGATTAGGCTACCGGACATAGTAAAATGAAGCGGCGATTTAAATAATCGCCGCTTCATTTAAATTTACATGGCTGCCGCACTGAGCCGACGGCTTTGATGTCGGCAGGGGGGCGTCCAGACTAGCGCGCTGAGCGGACAAACAGCCGATCAGCTGTTTGTCGGCTCAGAGCGGCAGCCATGTAAATTTAAATGAAGCGGCGATTATTTAAATCGCCACTTCATTTTACTATGTCCGGTAGCCTAATCTACATGCCTCTGTCGCCAGAGGCATGTAGTCTAGACGTACCCAAACTCAGTGGGACTGGCATGTGCCATCTCATCATCACAAAGAAGTTTAGAGGGGATGGATCACATTTAGTGAAGATGGACTCTCTAAGGAATTTCTGCCAAAGTAATAAGTTTCTACTGAGCATGTTTGAGCTAAATTTTTTCAGAGGCGTACTGCAATAGCTTATTAACTATACATACTATTTTTCATAAGTATATAAATGATCATGTCCTTGACAGCAGGCAATTTCTTTCCAAACTTCAAGCCCGTTAGTCCAAAGCATGGCAACGTTACATGCTCAATAAAAAAAAGTCTGACATTCTAAAAATTCTGGGTCACCCACAATGCTTCTTATATGCAGATGTTTAGTTAGATCTCATTCAACAGATTTTTTCAGAAAGATACAAGAAAACATGAGATCTTTATAAATTTGTTTAAAACAATTTTGTTGGATTACACTCCTTGGGTAGTATAGGCTCCTTCCCCTCCCACAAATTAAGACAAAACCTATTAATGTTGTTTCACGTGTGTTAGCTTACATCTTGATAGACCTTTTTGCCTATCACAAGTCAACAGTGTTAAGACAAGGCCACAGATAGTAAAATCTTTGTGGCATAAATGTGTTCTCACAGATTGGGTGTTGCAACCAGATCCAGGAAAGGTCAGTGCTACTTTCTCTTTAGGAAAGGGGTGGGGAACCTAAAGCCTGGGGGTGCTTGGATCTGGCCTCCAAGGCCTGGGGCTCTTCCACCAGCATTGATGATCCAGCCTCCCCCAGCTTTACTCTTACAGGGCTGGAGCACAAAAAAAAATCTACTAGCCTGGGCCCTCCTAGGCTCTAGAGTGCAAGGGGAATGTCTTTCTCCTTCTCAGTCATGGGCAATATCAAAGGTTTTCTTTTGAAGTTTTTTTCCTTCGCTTCTAACATGTGTGCAGCCCAGAACCAGAAAAGCTTCCCCACCCCTGCTATAGGGCTGGGAGATGAGAGGGGAAGTCGTAAGTCTTTTCTTCTGTTGTAAGACGAGGGCATGAAGGGACCAGCCAGTGGCAGAGGCGCTCTGTATTGCTGCATTTTACACAGTCTCGACCACGTTGTCAGGGGCTAGCAAGTAACAACAGAGAAGCCTTATGTGGCCGCCCAAGGGCGCTCCCTTAATGCGCCCACAGATGGCCCGGGGCTCAGGTCTGCTACTCCCGCACGCAGCCAGTGTGTGTCGGTGGCGGAGCAGGGCAGAGCTCCGGGGTCTGTTAGGCCCCTACCCCAGGGAACGGCAGACACAGTCTCGACCACGTTGTCAGGGGCTAGCAAGTAACAACAGAGAAGCCTTATGTGGCCGCCCAAGGGCGCTCCCTTAATGCGCCCACAGATGGCCCGGGGCTCAGGTCTGCTACTCCCGCACGCAGCCAGTGTGTGTCGGTGGCGGAGCAGGGCAGAGCTCCGGGGTCTGTTAGGCCCCTACCCCAGGGAACGGCAGCTCGAGTCTCCCGCTCGTGACACAAGCGACGGCGGCAGCCCCGCACTACGGGCGCTG